AGAGGGGTGCATGTTCGTAGGCTGGGTTGGAGATAAGGCTACAGAGGTAGGCAGTAGCTGAATCCTAAAGGAACCTCTATTTACCTTGACAGAGAGTTTAGATCTTACTTCTCTGCACCTGTGTTTCCCTCTTTCGAGGCTGCTTTTTCCTTTTCGCCCACCCAACGTAAACCAGTCATGGCAAATTCTCTCCCCAGAAATTCATTCAATAAGTATTTGTTGGAATACTTACTATATGCCATGTATTGTTCTAGGTGCTTGAGATACATGAGTAAAAATCCTACTCTGTCCCTGTGCTTATATTCTAGTGGGGGAATTTAAAGGTTAATGATAAACGTAATAAGCTGGGATATTATTCAACTTAGAGTAAAAGTAAAGTTGGAGAGTGGCAAGTGTTATGGAAAAAAGAAAAAGTAGGGTAAGGTAAAGGAGACTGGAGTGACCGGGGAGCAGGTGGGGCAGGCTAGAGTATTAAATAGAATGGATAACTAAGCAGAAATATGCAGGAGAAGAGGAGTCAGCCAAGTGGATATCTTGGTGAATAGTGTTTTGGGCAGAAGGAACAGCTAGAGGAACGCCTACAAGGGAGTAGTAGATGAGGTCAGAGAGGTTATGTGGGACTTGCAGGCCATTTAAGGAGTTTAGTTCTGAGCCAGTCAAGTGGGGAGCCACCACAGGATTATGATCAGTGTAGTGATGTGGTCTGACTAACGTTTTAGGAGGCTTTCTCTTTATGCTGTGTTGAAAAAAGACTGTAAAGCCACAAGGGTAGAAGCAGGGAGATCTACTAGGAGAAACTGAGATGATTCCAAGCATTGTGAGGCAGCCAGATCTCTTAGCAGAGTACTGAGTCCTCAGTAAATTCTAGTGATTATTTCAGTTTATGATTTTAGTTTAGATATGCCTCCTATAAATTATTTAGTAGATTACAAGTAATTAGCCCTTACTCACATGTAAAAATGAAAGTCCACAGGCTTACAGTCTTCACAAACTTATGCTTCTATAGGAACTGAAGAAAGGACTTACATTTTGGAGTTAGTTTGTGGCCTGTCAAGAAGAGCTTGAGAACTCAGTGAAGGATGAAGATGAAGATGGCTAGTTACTTCTAAAGGTAAATAAGAACAATGCACTTTCAACTCAACTTCAAATGTGTTCATATATTTGAGGGACATGCCCAAGTAAAACATAATGCCATACAAGATATAATGAGATGTGATAAAACATTTTAGGTAAAATACTAAACTGGAACAGAGAAAACAAAACACTTCTAAGATCCATATTGTAGTAAAATCGAGAGACCTTTGGAAGGTATTTCAGTTCTCAGCAATCTTACTTTAAATTGGGCCTACTACTTTGAAAAGTAGCCCATTTGAAATTCTATAGGATTCTATCTATATGTTATATAAATACTGTGACAAATTTTTATTTTGAAAAGGTGTATGAGTCAGGGTGGAAGATGATTTTAAGATGCTTCCACTGCTAAGGATTCCCTTTTTAAAAAATTAATTAATTAATTAATTTATTATTTTTGGCTGTGTTGGGTCTTCGTTTCTGTGCGTGGGCTTTCTCTAGTTGTGGCAAGCGGGAGCCACTCTTCATCGCAGTGCGCGGGCCTCTCACTGTTGCGGCCTCTCGTTGCCGAGCACAAGCTCCAGACGCACAGGCTTAGTAGTTGTGGCTCATGTTCCTAGTTGCTCCGCGGCATGTGGGATCCTCCCAGACCAGGGCTTGAACCTGCGCCCCCTGCATTGGCAGGCAGACTCCCAACCACTGTGCCACCAGGGAAGCCCTAAGGATTCCCTTTAATAGGAAAAACACATGTAGTTGTTTGTAGTAAAGTAATGTAAAAAGGAAACACACTTCTGCTTTATTCAGTCCTGTAAGAAGTCATGTGTCCCAGTGATACCAGCTCATGCACACTGAGTTTTATATGCTAGCACTGTCTCCAGGCAGGTAAGAGGCAGTGTGAGTTCTGAGAGACAGCTGCAGGCACCCAGCGCGCTTTGTGTCTGGTAGAAAACAGTCCCTGGCGCAGGGTGTGACTCTACTGTAAAGGAAGCCAAAATCGTCCAATTTGGACAACCTCTTTTAGGTTCACATTTTATGTACTCAAAATAAGTATGCTATTTTAGCCTCAGGGTAGTTTGTTTCTGCTTGGGTTGATAGCTGGCTGGGGAGTGGAGGTGGTGTTACCTCAAACCTGGCTCAGAAACAGTTGAATAAGGTAGAGTGTTCCACCCATCCTTTTTGTTTTTAGTTCTGTTCTTTCTTTTAAAGGAGCTTTTTAGTGTATTTCAGGGGCAGTGAGGGTTTCCAAGGCAAAGGTCAGAGCTACATGTATTTACTGGTACCTGTCATTGCATATGAGTGGAAAGGAAAGTGTGGATGTTATTTAAAAACATTTAAATTTTAGGTAAAAAGAAAAATCAGTCTCTCTAGACGTGTTCTCTTTGTTTTCCACTTCCCAGTTTCTCCTCCATTATCTTTTTTTTTTTTTTTTTTTTTTTTTTTTTTCTGACCCAGGTAATTTTAATGTGCAGCCAGTGTTTAAAACCACTACGGTTTCAAACAGGAGTAAAAGTATCTAGGTTCAGTTGCAGTGCTGCCATTTACTAGCTGGCTGATCTTAGTCTTCTATTTCCCATAGTATAATGAGGTTGGATTAGAGATATATAAAAATTCTCTAACTCTACAACAAAATTACATAAATTGAGATTCATATGATCTCATCAAACTAGCTCCAAAGAGATGAAAATGGAATTATTAGAGTGTGAGTTTGATTTGAAGTAGGTAATACACATACATACATACATACATACATACGTGAAAGCACTTAAGTAAACTTTTCCCTCTTCCCAATTACAAGGGGTGGGAGAAAAGAAACATAAGAGAAATCACAAGAGACTCCTAGGGCTGCTGTGTCTATCCCCAGCTCTCTTAAGTTGGGAGCTGGTCAGGTGGTACCTGGGGGACAGAGGGAGGAGAGAGTTTGCTATACACCAAGAAGATACATATAATACAAACCCCAAAGGACTTAACTCATCAGAGCATAATCTGGCCCGGTACTAAACAGAGCTAGCGTGGAACGTGGGGTAGGGGTGTGTACATATACGTAGACACACACCCGCGCACGCACCCCCCCCCCCCCACTCTCCCCCAACGGGCTTGCCGGGAGCGCGCCAGCGACCCTGGCAACCCGCCCCCAGGCCTCAACCCCACCCCTCTCCACCAGCTCCCTGTCCCGCCCGCACCCAGAGGGTTGTGGGCCGGTCCCAGCCCCACCAATAACAGAAGGCAGCAGCAGCCTCGGCCATCCTCCAGGAGCGGGTTTTCTGTCCGCTCTCAACCTCTTTCATCTTACCCGTCCCTGTGCTCGGAAAACCGGACTCTGACACTAACCCCATCCCCTGGCTTCCCTGCCAGTTCTCTCTAGACTAGGCCCTCCAAAAAGGACCAAATAGAACCGAAGCCCTTGGCCCAGCAGCGGCTCATCTTCACCCTCCGGTTGATCCTTAATCCTTTCGCGCTTCCACTCGCAGCCTCTTGTCTCGTCCTCATCCTCACACCTGTCCCAGACAAACCCTATCTTCCCCAATCTCACCTCCCCGCTTCTCCAGGCTCTCCTACGCCTTCGGCTCAGTAGCTCTCCGAGCATTCTTTGCCATGGGGACCCCACGCCACGCTTACACTCTCCCTCCTTCCAGGACCCCTCCCACGACATCTCGAGAGTCCCTCCACGCGCTCACCCTCTTTCACCTGCAGCCAGACACCATGCCCGCCCCCCGCCCTCCCGTTCCAAAACCCTGGGAGCCCTCACTCCCTATCACATCCGCTCTCCGGACGCGACACGCCCCGCCGCCAGTGCCCACAGTCCTAGTCTTCTGCCTCTCCAGCTGACCCACAGGGCGCCCCCAACCACCTCGGGTCTCCCTCTTTCCTCTCTCCCGACGCCGGCTCGCACGCTCACATTCGCCACACCCCCACACCCCCGCCCTTGAAACTCCCGCTCCCCGCCTCCGCCCGGCTCACACTCTTAGCCTCACATCTCCCCGCCCGGCCCCAGTCCACAGATCGCGTTCGGGAGGGGTGGCCGCCGCCCGCTGGGCGTCCGCGGTGCCCGGGCCTCAGCGGCCGGGAGGTGACGCGGCCCCGCGGGAGGAGCCCGGGAGGCGGAGGGGCGGCGGAGGCGGCGGCAGCAGCGGTGTAGGGAGCGGGCCCAGCGCACCCACTCTACGGACCCAAGGGCGGCGGCGGCGGCGGCGGCTGAGGGACCCTGGGCGGGCGCGTGATGAAGAAGGACCGGCGCCGGACCCTGCTGCGCGTCGGAGCTCGCTTGGATGCGGGCGTTGGCAGCCGCGTAGCCCTGGCCCCGGGACTGTGCGCCGCTAGCCCTTGTCATCCCTTCTCCGCTTTCGCTTACCCGCTCTAGCCCGGAGGGGTCTCTGGCGGCCATCCCCTGCCCCGCGGCCCTCTCCTCGTCGTGGCTAGAGGGGTTTCCTCCCTCCGCGGCGTCGGGAGCCCTGTGACGCGTCAGCCGGCTGGACGGCTCAGCTGCTTCTCTGGGAAATTAGACCCTGCTTCCTCCCTCCCCCCTCTGCGCCCCTCCGGCTCGCGGGACGCTGCCTCTGGGCGCTCGGAGCGAGTTCCCCGGACTCCCCCAGGGGGCTGGGTCGCAGCCTCCTCTTTCTCCTCTCAAGCGGTGCGCGCACCCCCCGCCCCCGCCGCGGCCGTACACACTCGCGCCCCGGCCGGAGCGCCGCCCTCCTGCCCGCTCCCTCCAGTCACCCCACCCTTAGTCGTCCCCGCCACCTTACTCCACCACCCTCCCCCGCCACTCCGCGTCCCGGCCCGGCCTCCCGCTCCTCGCTCCCTCAAACCGCTCACTTGCCAGCCCTTTGCCCCCGGGAAGAAGAAACATTTCTCGGAGCGCACTCATCAGCTCTCCCTTCCCCCGCGCTCGCCCTCCCCTCCCCCCGCTCTTTCTATCTTGGAGGAGGGGGGCTGTCGCCTAGGATTGAAGGCCATTGATTTGTATGTATTTGTCCCAGCGCCGGAGGCTGCCCCAGCCGCTCGCGCCGGTGCCGCCGCCGCCGCCGCCGCCTCCAGTGGAGTTGCCTCCCTTCTTCCCTAGGGTGGTTAGACTCCACCTAATATGTCGGCTCCTGTCGGGCCGCGGGGCCGCCCGGCTCCCACCACGGCGGCCTCTCAGCCGCCTCTGCAGCCCGAGATGCCCGACCTCAGCCACCTCACGGAGGAGGAGAGGAAAATCATCCTGGCGGTCATGGATAGGCAGAAGAAAGAAGAGGAGAAGGAGCAGTCGGTGCTCAAGTAAGGACCTGGCTCCATCTTCCCGCCTCCCTCCCTGCCCTCCGCCCCCTCGGTCGCTGCCCTGCGGCCGCCTGCGCGACCCGGGTCGCCGCCCTCCCTCTCGCCGGCGGCGCCCGGGCCATGAGGGTTGCGGCCGGCGGCGGCCGGCGGGGCTGCTTTCTGGGTGTCAGAGCGCGGGTGTGTGTGTCGGGGAGGGAGGGCGCCGAGGCCGGCTGAGGTGAGGGTCGCGAGCCTTTGGGTGTTGTAATTTTCCCGGGCGTCCTTCTGGCTTTCCCCGCGGGCCAGTTTGGCTCCGTGGCCCCGGCGGGGCTGGGACTGAACCCAGGCTCCGCGCGTCCCTTCTCCCTTCCCGCCGCCCCCGCGCAGAGGCAGTGACTGGGGCAAGGAATCCAATATGGCCGTGCACAGGTGCTCCCCGGCCGGGACCCCGGCAAAGGCGCGCCGGCCGGGGATGAGGGCGCCGCCGGGGACGCCTCGTCGCCGCCTCCGCAGGGCGGCTCGGAGAGCAGAGCTGCCGACTGTCGTCGCGGGTAGGAGGGAGGGCGTGCGGGCGGGGGGCCTAAGCTCTGTCGCGTTTCGGGTGGGTGTGCGGCCGCCGCCATCTTCCACCCCCTCCCCCTAGGCGGGTTCTAACACCCTGCGCTCTGCTGCTCTTCCTGTTTGCAACTAGTAAATCTGTTTAATCCTGAAGGGACTCTGAAGAGACTCCAGTTCCTCCCATTACTGCGCTTGGGATGCTTCCTACCTTGTGAAGTTCTACTATTCGTGCCGATAGGCTAGGCAGCCGGGATCTTGCCGAGGGTGGGACGGTGAAAGCAGCGCCCAGGCACCCGCGCAGTTTAGCGGCTGTGTAACTTCAGCACCAGGGAACTGTCCGGACAGATAGCTGTAGCTTTGAGACTCCTTTTCTTGTCAGTCTGGCAAAGAGATTTGTTTCTGCACGTTTGCTTTTAAATGTTTTACCGTTATTTGATTTCTCAGTTACTACGTGAAAGAGAGTGCGCAGAAGATGTGTTTTTTCCAACTCAACTCTTTCATTTTTGCTTGAAATGCATTATTCATTAAGATATTAATTTGTACAGTTTATATGCCAAAGTTGCGACAGTTATTTTCTGTGTTATCAAATATACTTTTCCCATATTCTCCACAGCAACACATAGTTGAAAGTGTAAGAGTTCCTCTAGGAGGGAACTAACACACTGACCTCTGATCATTAACTTTTAAAAACAGGTTGTTGCATTCAGTATTCTTTAGCACTTACAAAGAAACAATTCTCTCTATACATACATATTTGCATATTTTAATGAAAAATACTCCTTTAAAGAATATAATAACAAATGTATCAAATATATTTACATGTCCAAGAAAAATACTAGTTCTCAAAAATATTGAAGCACTAAGAGAGCAGATGTGCTCCTAGCATATTAACTGAAATAAAGAAGAATTGCTTCTTTGAAACTGATTTCTGGGTTTGAATACTTGTTTGGGAGTGTGATTTATTAGTAGGCTCGAGAAATGAAAAAGGTTAAGAGATTTGAGTAGCTTATTTCAACTAATAAAGAATTAAACATTATTTTGAAAAGTTCTTTGAGCATACTTCTAATTTTGCTTAACTTTACTATATATACTAACAATACCAAGCTTTTTGATGACTTAGATTTGATATTTAGATATATGAATCTGTATTTTTCACTATAATTGCTACAAAATAAGTATTTTCAAAATGATTTTCAAATTAAATGTGGTTTTATTTCTTTGACTCACATATTTAGACGTAGAATGTGTTTTTATTTTTTTATGGTATGCTAAATCATGGTACTTACTGGCAAGCTCACTATAGTTCCAAATCTATTTATTGTTCTAATATATAGAAATTTAAATGAAGTTTTGAGTACTGAATTAAGAATTACTCAAAATGAACTATATGTTATATAGTGTGAAAGGGTTTTCCAGGTAGGTACATATGAATATATTACATTTCTATGTAAACCTACATACTGTGCAAATCATATAAAGTTTGTGCATTCACATTTGCATAGTTTAGGTAGAAACAAGCATTCTCTACACATATAGTTATACAGCATATAAAATTACGTTGATGAAAAATCTGTTCATATTTATTTAAAATATCTATTTGCATTTTTACCTAACTGAGACTTGGAAGGAGTCATACCTCAAAACGGTCTACATGGTTTCGGAATTATTTTTGTATTCATTTTAACAAGAAGCTATTTGGAGGTTAAAGCATAATATATTTGAAACTTTAATTTTTAATGTTCTTTAAAAATACTTTTGGCTTTTGTAATAAGCTAAGAGTAGGCAAAGAAAATGAGGAAAAGAATAGACTTTATAATAGAATGATAATAATGAAAGACATTGTTTTGAAGAATTTGACAATTTACTAAGTAATATATTTTCAATGTTGTTTATTAAGTTACAAATGCTATTTATAAGAAAAAAATAATACTAATATCTTTGGGTGTTGTAATTTTCCCGGGCGTCCTTCTGGCTTTCCCCGCGGGCCAGTTTGGCTCCGTGGCCCCGGCGGGGCTGGGACTGAACCCAGGCTCCGCGCGTCCCTTCTCCCTTCCCGCCGCCCCCGCGCAGAGGCAGTGACTGGGGCAAGGAATCCAATATGGCCGTGCACAGGTGCTCCCCGGCCGGGACCCCGGCAAAGGCGCGCCGGCCGGGGATGAGGGCGCCGCCGGGGACGCCTCGTCGCCGCCTCCGCAGGGCGGCTCGGAGAGCAGAGCTGCCGACTGTCGTCGCGGGTAGGAGGGAGGGCGTGCGGGCGGGGGGCCTAAGCTCTGTCGCGTTTCGGGTGGGTGTGCGGCCGCCGCCATCTTCCACCCCCTCCCCCTAGGCGGGTTCTAACACCCTGCGCTCTGCTGCTCTTCCTGTTTGCAACTAGTAAATCTGTTTAATCCTGAAGGGACTCTGAAGAGACTCCAGTTCCTCCCATTACTGCGCTTGGGATGCTTCCTACCTTGTGAAGTTCTACTATTCGTGCCGATAGGCTAGGCAGCCGGGATCTTGCCGAGGGTGGGACGGTGAAAGCAGCGCCCAGGCACCCGCGCAGTTTAGCGGCTGTGTAACTTCAGCACCAGGGAACTGTCCGGACAGATAGCTGTAGCTTTGAGACTCCTTTTCTTGTCAGTCTGGCAAAGAGATTTGTTTCTGCACGTTTGCTTTTAAATGTTTTACCGTTATTTGATTTCTCAGTTACTACGTGAAAGAGAGTGCGCAGAAGATGTGTTTTTTCCAACTCAACTCTTTCATTTTTGCTTGAAATGCATTATTCATTAAGATATTAATTTGTACAGTTTATATGCCAAAGTTGCGACAGTTATTTTCTGTGTTATCAAATATACTTTTCCCATATTCTCCACAGCAACACATAGTTGAAAGTGTAAGAGTTCCTCTAGGAGGGAACTAACACACTGACCTCTGATCATTAACTTTTAAAAACAGGTTGTTGCATTCAGTATTCTTTAGCACTTACAAAGAAACAATTCTCTCTATACATACATATTTGCATATTTTAATGAAAAATACTCCTTTAAAGAATATAATAACAAATGTATCAAATATATTTACATGTCCAAGAAAAATACTAGTTCTCAAAAATATTGAAGCACTAAGAGAGCAGATGTGCTCCTAGCATATTAACTGAAATAAAGAAGAATTGCTTCTTTGAAACTGATTTCTGGGTTTGAATACTTGTTTGGGAGTGTGATTTATTAGTAGGCTCGAGAAATGAAAAAGGTTAAGAGATTTGAGTAGCTTATTTCAACTAATAAAGAATTAAACATTATTTTGAAAAGTTCTTTGAGCATACTTCTAATTTTGCTTAACTTTACTATATATACTAACAATACCAAGCTTTTTGATGACTTAGATTTGATATTTAGATATATGAATCTGTATTTTTCACTATAATTGCTACAAAATAAGTATTTTCAAAATGATTTTCAAATTAAATGTGGTTTTATTTCTTTGACTCACATATTTAGACGTAGAATGTGTTTTTATTTTTTTATGGTATGCTAAATCATGGTACTTACTGGCAAGCTCACTATAGTTCCAAATCTATTTATTGTTCTAATATATAGAAATTTAAATGAAGTTTTGAGTACTGAATTAAGAATTACTCAAAATGAACTATATGTTATATAGTGTGAAAGGGTTTTCCAGGTAGGTACATATGAATATATTACATTTCTATGTAAACCTACATACTGTGCAAATCATATAAAGTTTGTGCATTCACATTTGCATAGTTTAGGTAGAAACAAGCATTCTCTACACATATAGTTATACAGCATATAAAATTACGTTGATGAAAAATCTGTTCATATTTATTTAAAATATCTATTTGCATTTTTACCTAACTGAGACTTGGAAGGAGTCATACCTCAAAACGGTCTACATGGTTTCGGAATTATTTTTGTATTCATTTTAACAAGAAGCTATTTGGAGGTTAAAGCATAATATATTTGAAACTTTAATTTTTAATGTTCTTTAAAAATACTTTTGGCTTTTGTAATAAGCTAAGAGTAGGCAAAGAAAATGAGGAAAAGAATAGACTTTATAATAGAATGATAATAATGAAAGACATTGTTTTGAAGAATTTGACAATTTACTAAGTAATATATTTTCAATGTTGTTTATTAAGTTACAAATGCTATTTATAAGAAAAAAATAATACTAATATTCTTCAATGATTACTATTTCCCATTAAATTTTAGGGACCATTTATCTGGTCATGACTACACTTTGTTTCTCTTTAGTGATGTCCATTTAATTGCATGTTAACATTTATTCTGAGAGAAGGTCATGGGCAGAGATAAATAAACTGAAATTCAAATTCATGTCTGCTGCCTTTTAACAACTATGTTAAAAAATAAGTTTGCTGTGTGAAAAATTGAAACTGTTGCATGAAAATATTTTTGCATGATCTGTGAGTTTCAATACTCATGTTAAGTATTCAGACAAAGTGG